AAAAAGTTACCATGGTGGAAGATCCATTGGCTTTACAACTGACGCTAGCATGAGGGACTGCACTTTTTTAAAAACATATAACGTAGGCCTAGGCCCATATAAAAAGGCTCTCACATTATACGGAACTTGAGCTTAAAGCATGTTTATATATGTGCCAATTTATTCACTCACATACATGTAAATATTATAGTTTTGAGTAATGGTAAAGGAAAAAATCAAAAAGGGAACTGGAAATGGAGATAAACATAGTTAAAAACATTATATTCGTTTTGTTTCTTTTAAGCTACTCTCTCTAGCAAGACTCAGTAGTCCTTATGTTTTTTTTTTCCTTCTAATCTTTACAGCAAAGCAATGCAATTTCTCCCTACATGCAAACACTGGCGACTCTTCGTTTCCTTGCAACAGGATCCTTCTACACCGTTCATGGTGACCTCCATGTGCCTTCTGTGTGCCGCATAGTCCATCGTGTGGCGGCTGCTTTATCAAGATTGGCACAAGCAGAAGTAAGGTTTCCTGTCCGGCTTCAAGATGTAGCGCGCATCAAGCATGAGTTCTTTCAGCTTGCTGGGTTTCCCAATGTGGTCGGTGCACTAGATTGCACCCACGTCCGTTTATACGGAGCACCACTAGGAGAGAGCGAACATTTGTACGTCAACAGGAAGGGATACCACAGTATCAACGTTCAGGCAATCTGTGATGCCAACTACAGGATCACCAATGTTGTAGCCAGATGGCCAGGCTGCACTCATGATATAGTCAGTGGGCTTGTGGTAGCCCATATGCATTTTTGGGTACATTCTATGAAACTCTCAGGATCACTTATGTTTACCCCAAGGAGTTCAAAACCATTTGTTGCCATTTTTTCCTGACCCTTTTAGGGGCGGCGCTTGGACTTTTAAAAGTGGGGGGCTTCATATGCAAAATAATTGGTAGGATAATTAAAATTTCATTTTTCATACTTGGAGAGGACACTGTGGGGCTATATAAAAACAGTTTAAAATTCCATGATTTTGCCTCTTTTGGGGGCGGGGCCATATTGATATAAGTGGGGGCAGATGCAATTCCCAAAAAATCAAGGTGTAATGGGCAATCTTGGTGTCTTCGCTTCTTTTATTACCATCCAGTACAGTGAACTGCATGTACAAAAAAACATATTTTGATAACATTTGATTTGTTTGTCCCCTTTTGAGGGCGTGTCACACTTTTCAGGAGAAAGGGGGGCACTTTATTAAGCTTGAAGCAGCCCATATGGGCTTGACCTATAGTGAAAAGGCTTAAGACAGCAACAAAACAAAATGACTTAATTGTCCTTTTCTACAGGTCAAGATCCAAATAATCTTAAACCGAATTTGACATTTTTATCCATAAGCCTAATTTTTTTGGCATAACATAGGCTATACACGTATACACTAATACTTGTAGGTTATTCTTTAAGATTACCGCTTCAAAAATTAGAAAAAGCAGGCCGATCCTTTCAAAACAGATTACGTTTTTTAGTTAAACTATGTGGGAGTTTGTGTATTTGGAATTGTAAAGTATGCCATTGGAAAATAAAACTGATTATGTACAGTTATTTATTCATTCAACGTGACTGCATCCGGATGACTAGCTGTATTTTCGCATCTCTCTTCTTCGGCTTCACATCTGCAGAGTTCGGTGCAAACAAGATTCTTGGCTTTGCAGGAGCATCTTCCAGTTGCACAGTTGTTGGTGGAACTAGGATTGCTGGCGCGACATTTGCATCGCACAAGCTCAACAACAGACTGGAGAGCTGGGGGAACTTTTGACAACACAGGCACCTAGCCTCTATCTTCCCTTATCCATCCAAGCTTGAGCGGATCTAGTATAGTAGGCTGGAGGATTAAATCCTGCTCCCATACAGCTGCTTGGCAATGTGCTCTGAGTATGTGTTCCTTCCAGGCACCCAGTGTTGGGGGGAGAAGGTCAACCCCTTTGTCGTGTTCTTGTTGCTTGAAAAACTTCCATCTGAGATCATGAGGCTCGGATATGCTGATACCTTTTCGACAAAACAGACTGCACAGAAATGATGCACAGCCAGTTATAGTATCTGCCGATGGTTCATTACCAATGCCAAGTAAAGAAATTGCAGCCACTGTTTCAGGACTTGCCTTCAGGTATGCCTCTAGACATGCTTTTTTAGATTTACCATTTATGTGGCCTGTTGTGTCACAGCCAGTGAGTGCATGCCATTTGCATAAACCTGACGCTTTCTCTGGCCCAAGAGCATTGTAGATAGGCTCTAGCATTATCAACCGACGACGGTCACCAGTGCCAAGTTGAGGAATTCGCCTTATTGCCAGAACTAGAACATCAGTGTCCTGACTGTAAATATGGACAGTACATCCTGCTTTGGCTGCTTCACATGCATGGAGGATCATTAGGGTGTCAGCCTCCTCCTGGGAGCTGACTCCTGGATGTATGGTTCCTGGTTTGTTTGACATCACATCACTGCGTGTGGCTGTAATAATGCAGTGAGATTTGGAATAGGTGACGAGCTTCTGTGCAAGGTAAAGCGTAAGTGAATCCTTTGTTGCATTGCTTCTTAGAAATGCTTTGGCATCTCTGATTTGCGTAGCATCCTCTACCTTGTAGCTTCTGACAGGTACTTTTTTACCGCCTCGGCGTCGTTCTCTGGTAGTTTCCTTCAGCGATCCTTCCACAGAATAATTGTCCTATACAACTCGGACAATTGGATAGCAACGACCTTTGGCATCTATGAGTGAAACATATGCATCACTAAGAGCCTTGCAACTTTTGAATTGTTTTACTGCCATGAGCTCTTGTACAACAGCCATTCCATCAACTATGGGGCACATCAAACCACTCTGATGATCTGTGGTTTTTGGAGGTTCTGTTACAGATTCTGGTAATCTGTTCTTTGATAATGCTGCTGCGGGGGTTTTCCAGTACTGTGATAATCTTACTCTTGTCCAGAGTTGGATGAAGAGAGCCATCAGGCTTCATCAGTGTGCGATTGATGGTTGAAAATTCATATTTCCCTATGACCTCTTCCAAGTTCACCTCACGGAATGAACGTGCTACAACAAGCAATCTTGACATGAGACCTGATGTAGCACGCACTATTATTACACTATCTTTGGTTCGTAGCTTGATCTGCTTCGCAGCAGAATTCCATGGGAGTGTCTTGCATTTACTCATTTTATCCCATAAATTTGTATCTCCACAGATACGTTCTTCAACAAATTTCTTCAGTGCAGACAGCCCTTGTGATTCAATAGACAAAATGCTTTCGCTTGTCGGTTCTGAAATTATCTCCTTAGTTATCATATTGAAAAGGTGGGTTTCCTTGGATGTGAAAATATCACAAGGGGCAAGAACTTTGTGCAGTTTTTCAATGGCCCGCTCTTGTCTCTTTACAGTAGACGAATTGAGACAATGGTGCTCTGTTCTTATCGTGTTTGGCATCCCAACCAGGTTATCTGCCTCATTTGCGATCCTTGTCAACTCAGGAGCACACATGCAAAACTTCAACAGCGTGGCAGAAGATTGCGTTATGCCATTGATGGAACCATGGCCTTTCAGGCACTTGTTGCTGTGTTCCTGAGCGAGATCTACCCCAATACGAGTAAAAGGGATATTGTTGGAGGTATTCACTGTGAAATTCCTGCCATATGTCAGGGTCTGTGGATTTCAACTGATCCATACGTGCAAGATATTCTGGAACATGCTGTGCATACATCAGCCTGTCGTAGGCAAAAAAGTAAACACACAATTTTTCAAGAGCAGACGGGTGTAGAAACCAGTCACCCTGACGTGTTGCACGCTGGAACTGCAGCAGCGTCATAATCTGTCTCATGGACATACGCGCCCACTGAAATAATGGATATGCTGCGTGTTTAGCATCAACATTTGCAAGCTGTCTCGTGAGGTCAAGGGATTCAACTGTTGCCAGTAATGTCATGTGGGCTTCACGAACACCCTCTTGGTTTTCGCATGCATTTAAAAACATCACAACACTGTCTTGTAGGGCCTTGTATATAGCAGGATATTCTGCAAAAAAGGCTTCAATCCACAGGTCAAACAATACCTGGAGGGTTACCACATGAGCTTCAAGGGCCCTGCTTGACTACCATTGATAACCTGACTTACTACTACAGAGCTGTACAAATCTGACTCTTTCCAAGCCTCATCAATTCCACTACCTTCCACTGTCTTTTCTAAACACCTGAGAGCACACAATGAAGTGTGGAAGGCTCCTGGACATACTACCCACTTATCTTTATACTGGGGGTCCAAGTATTCCAGCTTCAAAACTCTTTTGTAGAGATCCATGTCAAATGTAACAACAAGCTTCCTGTCACTATTTGAAACTAGCACGTTAAGGTTATGGAGTTGTTCAAGTGTAGTTACTAAGGTTGACCACTCGTGTGCAGGGGCATTTATGATGGGGAGAGTGTAAACTTTAACAATGCCTGAACCATCCTCATACACAAAGTCTGGTTTGTTTCGTAGAGAATTATATGCTGACCATACTGGCACACATTAATTTTGATTCCCCAATTTTCCGATGTCATCAGATTTTTTCACACATTCATCTGATAGTGAGGAAGCTGAGAGAGCCGAGGTTTGGTCAGGATTCTTTGCTATACAAGTAGTACATGTTGAACTGTATGCTTAATCACACGTGACCTGATGTTCATCACTGGTGTTTTCATTCACATTTTCACCCATGACAGTTTCAACATTGACACATTCATCACTGTTCATTACACTGCTTTCATTCATATGGATGACTTCATCCAGATTAGGAAGTGTATCCATGTAATCTGTTTCATCTACAGGCTCAGATTGTGGCATGTTTTCAGTCACCTTTACTGCTTGAAGGGCAAAACTTCTTGGCCTATTAACATACCTTGCAATCAGCCAAACTAAGTCATCGAGCAATGAGAACTGGAAATGTTCCTCATGGAGCCCTAGTGTGTAAGACTTGTAAGATGGTCTGATGCGTGTGTCATATCGTGATATGTCTTTGTTGTTTACCTCAAGAGAGGGCGCCTTTTTGTTGTGGTTCTGTCTTCAGACTTGAGCGAAGTCTACACATTTTTTACACGAGTTTCTAGAGTTGTTGTTTTTCCCTGCAAAGTTTTACGTCAAAGATCGCCTTTTCTATTGGCCTTTCTAGCCAAGGTATGTGGAAATTTGCCTTCTTTGATCCGGATTTGCCCCCTGAATCCTGTAGTTAGGATATCTGTTCTGTAGAGAAGCCATATAATTAGCTTTAGGATGATATTTTTGTCGTTGACTGAGGTGCTCACGTGGATGCATGTATTTTGTAGCGAAGCAAGGAGTTTCGGTGCTGTGCACTCGGTAAACTCACTCCAGATTTTTAGTTTCCTTTAGCTACATTTTCTGATAGCTTGCATTAGGTTTGAGTTATTTAGGGCTGTTCATCTTCCATGTTTTTTCTCTCGTTGTCAGTTTCTTGATATAGAACGTACATGTAGAGGTCAGGGTTTACGCACTATTTTTTCTTGCGGTCCAGCCACGTTGTGATATGTCCGTTCATGTGTCATGGAGGAATGTATACTCTCACAGGCATATACGCGGAGTGATATTTTCAGTAAGAGTTCTTGGTGATCCGCCCAGTCGTAGTCTTGTTTAAGTCGCTTGATGTAGTTTTGGTCTTGTTGAGCATACATTTGGCATTAATAGTCTCAGATTAGGAGATAGTGTGGTGGAAGTTTTTTAAGATGATTTTAGAATGTGTTTCACATTTTTCTAGAAGTAATACACAGGCTCAGTCAGAGTTTTTTTGATTATCCTTTTTTTTTATTCGGCACAATTAGAAATTAGTTCACATGTAATTTAGGAACTTGTTCTTCATTATTGCAGGTTATAGGCTGTCTAACATAATTTGAGTTCAACTGCGGATGTTTTGAGAACAATTGTTTATCCAGTTTGCCTGAGAGTTTTCATGGAATTCTAGATTTATGACAGTGTTTTCCCCTTTTTTTTTGCTTTCAGGAATCATACACAGTTGTTGAATATTACAACTACATTTGACTACACTACCTACTGCTGTCACCAAATAAAATAGAAGCACAACAGTGGAGTACAGTTTCATGTGCAGTTTTATTGCAGCAACGTGTTAGACTATTTCTGATTTCATCACATCTTCAACAACTTCGTGTACCCCAATATGTGGATCTTGCACCATGGCTGATGTCAACAAATTGAAGTTAACCAGACGAAACACCAAGGGTCAATTGACAAGAACATTGACAACGATAAACGACCTGGTGAAAGAAGAGGTTATTGACCTGGAACTGGTGAAGAAATTCATAACCAAGGCTGAACGGCAGTTTGAGAAGTTGGAAGAGAAACACTCTGAGTTAATGGAGGTCATCGAAGAGCAGATGGAGTTTGAAGATGGGGAGAAATGGATGGGAGACTGCGAATCACAGTTTGTCCAGATTATACTTCATGCGAGACAGGTTGTCAACGACCAATCGCAATCATCCGTGACGGACAAGCCCTGTCCTCCTTTGCCTACGACTTCCCAGCCAAGCCCAACATGTACAGCTCCTACACAGCCTGTGAGCACAGGAACTGTACAGGCCACATCCAGTAACCCAACACATACGGTTCCCACAAAGCCTGTGAGCACAGGAACTGTACAAGCCGCATCCAGTGACCCAACACATACGGTTCCAACAAAGCCTGTGAGCACAGGAACTGTGTCAGCCGCATCCAGTGCAGCCTTGCCAACACCACCTGCTACATCTCATCCTACGTCATCAGCTCCAAAGATGGCAAGGATGAAATTCCCTACCTTCAGCGGTAACATCAGAGACTACAAGCGATTCAAAGAGCTATTCATCCACTGCTCAGCAGGTCTAACTGAGATCGAATGTTTCTACCAACTTACAGAATCAATGGTCAATGCCAAGGAACGCAATCGTGTCAAGGGTTGCATCAACGTCACGAGAGCGTGGCAAGTACTCGATGAGTATTACGGTGATTCAGACAAAATCGTGGACAGTCTTCTCAGAGATCTGGATAACTTGAAGACATACGAGATTAAGGGGAGAGTCAACCTCCCCGCCATGAGTCGCTTTGTTCAGACCCTGCAGATATTCGAGACCCACGCAGAAGCCATCGGCCTGTCCGGAGAACTAAACAGTAAGATCATGCTAAGTCAAATAAAGCAGAAGTTACCGGAGGAACACCGGATCGCCTACGAGCCTTGTGGTGATGCTCCAGTCATTCTACCAGATCAGCTACGACAATATGAGCATTTGAGTCAGGTCCACATTCATGTTGCTCCATCGCAGACTATCGATTTACTCCTGGGTGTTGATAACACACATCTGATGATCTGGGAGGACTACATCTGTGGTGAGAAATTTGATGAACCTGTAGCAGTCAGATGCCCTTTAGGTTGGTTCATCCAGGGAGGACGATCTACAAGTTCGGCTACATTGGTCAACTATGTTAACGTGTCAGCCATCGGCCCATTAGAGGAGTTCCTCGGCCTAGAGGCGGTGGGATTGGACCTAAGAGATGTAGATGTTCTGCCGATCTCATTGACAAGAACGCAACTGATGACATGCAGCGGAGTGTCACTCAACTGCCCGACGGGTCCTATGAAATTCGACTGCCATGGAAGAGATCACCAGATGACCTGCCTGACAACTACGACTATGCTGTCAAGAGGTTGAGGAGTCTAGAAAATCAATTCAGCAACAGACGCGAGGAATGGGAAACGTACTGCCAACAAATGAGAGACCAGTTGAAGAGACGTGTCTCTCGGCATGTCACAGAGGAGGAGCTGCAACGAGACCAAGACACTGGCAAGAAGATGTGGTTTCTGCACCACTTTGCTGTCACCAAAGACTCAAAGACTACTCCGGTCAGAGTAGTATACGATGCGAAAGCAAGGTATCAGGGCCACTCGCTGAACGATTATCTCATGAAGGGTGAGAATATAAACTCTGATCTGTTTGAGGTTGCTTTGCGGTTCCGAGAAAGCGAAGTGGGTCTCATCGCTGACATCAGCAAGATGTTCCAAGCCATCAAAATCAAACCTGACGATGCCCGCTTCCACAGGTTTGTGTTTCGAGAGAGCCCTGGTCAACCCGTCCAGGTGTATGAGCTGACGACGGTTACCTTTGGAGACAAGCCGTCTCCAACTGCTGCCATTGTGACCTTGAGACACGTGGTAGCTGAGCACGCTACGGGTGATGAGCAGCTGAACAGAGTGGTTGCTGATCAGTTCTACATGGACGACTTGAACGAATCTGTTGTCAATACTGAAGAAGCTCTGCAGCTTAAGTCAAAGCTCACTGAGACCCTCAAGAGAGGCAACTTTGCCATAAGGAAATGGCAATCAAACGTAGAAGAAGTGTGTGACAAGACAGAAGATACCAAGGTTGCCACAGCTCTAGGCACTAAGTGGAATCTTGAGAAGGACACCTTGAAAGTCAAAGCAGTGAAGTCAGCCAAGGACATCCCAACCAAACGTAACATCCTTGGACAGACTGCTTCGTACTATGATGTCTTCGGCATGCTGTCGGGACCGACAGAAGATTCTTCTGCAGAAGCTGTGGCAGTTGAACATTGATTGGGACACCCCCTTCAACCCAAGGGGCGACTTATGTGCCATGCTGAGTGACATCAACAGAGACCTTGTGGACGTAGTCAACATTGAAATTCCAAGGTGCCTGATTCCAGAGCCGTACAAGGGTATGAGACCCTTACCCGAACTTTCTCTACATGGCGCAAGTGATGCTTCCGAAGACGCTATGGGCATCGGAGTTTGGCTGAGGTGGTCTCGCCCGGAAGAAGCCGAGGCACATCTGACATTTGTGTGCGCTCGAGCCAGAGTTACGCCGCTTAAGCAGTCCAGCATTCCCCGAAAGGAACTTCAGGCTATTCTGCTACTGACAAGATTGATGCTCACCGTGAAGAGTGCCCTACGTTTCGACATAGCTTACTGGAAGATCTGGACGGACAGCATGACAGCCATAAGCTGGCTAAGAGGACAGTCCAAATCTTTCCGCTCCTATGTTGCATATCGTGTGGGCGAGATTACAACAGAGTTTGACCCCATCAAGGACGTCGCATATGTTCCATCTGACCAGAACGTCATCGACCTGGTTTCCAGAGGAGGAACTGCTGCTGACATGAGGCGAGTCATCGGTGGGCCTGAATACTTGAAGCTACCCCCTGAGTCCTGGCCCAAGACGCCAGCAAACGTCCCAGTAGACCTGAAAGATGAGGAGCACAAAGAGACATCAACTTCCAGGATCCCAATATTTTGAAGCTTGATCCATTCTTTGACAAAGATGACCAGGTTTACCGTGTTGGCGGACGCCTGGGCCAGGCACCATTGTCCTGCGATATCCGACATCCATATCTTCTGCCTAAAAGGAACCACATTAGCCTGTTGATTGTACGAAACAGACACACACACGCCCTTCACGGGGGTCACCTGAGAACAGCAGCTGAGGTTAGGAAAAAATACTGGATCGTCGGGGACATCCGCATCTCAAAGCATGTCGTGCACGAGTGCATCACGTGTAGAAGACACAGGAGAAAGCCAATCCAGCAGAAGATGGCTGACTTGCCGGATTTAAGAGCCAGTCCTTGCTCGCCACCGTTCCAAACGACATTGGTGGACTACCTCGGACCAGTGAGCGTGAAGATGAATCGCAACACTACTACCAAAGGCTACTGCGCCGTCTGGAACGATTCATAAGTATCAGGGGAGCACCATCTATGTTGGTCAGTGACAATGCTACCTGCTTCAGAGGAGCTGACAGCACCATTAATGAGTTGAACTTGAAGTTGGACCAGACCCAACTGAGAGAACATTGTCTGCGCTACAACGTTCAGTGGAAATTCGGCCCTCCAGGAGGACCCCATCACCAGGGAGCTGTTGAACGCATGGTGCAAGAGGTCAAGAAAGGGATGAGACACCTGGTGAAGGCAGATCGTCTGACATTTGTCGAGTGGGAGACTGTTTTCTGTCAGATATCCGCTCTTATCAACAGTCGACCTCTAACCGCCAAGTCATCTTCACCACTAGATCATCCACCCCTGACACCAAATCACTTTCTGATTGGAAGAGGAGATTGGAAACGCTGGATGGAATGCATCCACAAGCTCTCACCACGCCAGAAGTGGCAACAATCGACAGACTGCGTAAAGACGCGGTTCCTGGAAGATGGCTGAGGTCGTGAATACTTACCCAGGAAAGGACGACCTTGTCAGGGTTGTTGACGTCAAGTTCGCCTGTGGCACCATCGCTAAGAGACCTGTGACGAAGCTTATTCTTCTGATGAAGAAGTCTGAACGAACTGACATTTAGTTTTAGTTCATGTTTTGAAGCGACGTGAGCTTTATTGAAGCTTATGAGCATCGAAGCCGCCTTTTGGACTGTTTGGATCCCTTTGTGGGCCTTCAGAATCAGACTTTGACTTCGAACTCGGCAGTAGTTTTCTTGCCAGTTTTTCTGTGTTCGTTTGTTAGCTTTGGCTTAGCTGGTTAGCTGTGACATTCCGTCACGTTTAGGGGGATGGGATGTCATATCATGATATGTCTTTGTTGTTTACCTCAAGAGAGGGCGCCTTTTGTTGTGGTTCTGTCTTCAGACTTGAGCGAAGTCTACACATTTTTTACACGAGTTTCTAGAGTTGTTGTTTTTCCCTGCAAAGTTTTACGTCAAAGATCGCCTTTTCTATTGGCCTTTCTAGCCAAGGTATGTGGAAATTTGCCTTCTTTGATCCGAATTTGCCCCCTGAATCCTGTAGTTAGGATATCTGTTCTGTAGAGAAGCCATATAATTAGCTTTAGGATGATATTTTTGTCGTTGACTGAGGTGCTCACGTGGATGCATGTATTTTGTAGCGAAGCAAGGAGTTTCGGTGCTGTGCACTCGGTAAACTCACTCCAGATTTTTAGTTTCCTTTAGCTACATTTTCTGATAGCTTGCATTAGGTTTGAGTTATTTAGGGCTGTTCATCTTCCATGTTTTTTCTCTCGTTGTCAGTTTCTTGATATAGGGTTTACGCACTATTTTTTCTTGCGGTCCAGCTACGTTGTGATATGTCCGTTCATGTGTCGTGGAGGAATGTATACTCTCACAGGCATATACGCGGAGTGATATTTTCAGTAAGAGTTCTTGGTGATCCGCCCAGTCGTAGTCTTGTTTAAGTCGCTTGATGTCGTTTTGGTCTTATTGAACATACATTTGGCATTAAAAGTCTCAGATTAGGAGATAGTGTGGTGGAAGTTTTTGAAGATGATTTTAGAATGTGTTTTACATTTTTCTAGAAGTAATACACAGGCTCAGTCAGAGTTTTTTTGATTATCCTTTTTTTATTCGGCACAATTAGAAATTAGTTCACATGTAATTTAGGAACTTGTTCTTCATTATTGCAGGTTATAGGCTGTCTAACTTAATTTGAGTTCAACTGCGGATGTTTTGAGAACAATTGTTTATCCAGTTTGCCTGAGAGTTTTCTTGGAATTCTAGATTTATGACAGTGTTTTCCCCTTTTTATTTTTTGCTTTCAGGAATCATACACAGTTGTTGAATATTACAACTACATTTGACTACACTACCTACTGCTGTCACCAACTAAAATAGAAGCACAACAGTGGAGTACAGTTTCATGTGCAGTTTTATTGCAGCAACGTGTTAGACTATTTCTGATTTCATCACAGCGTGGTTTTGGATTGCCAGTTATGTTGCACTTGGAAAGTTTTATGCAAGTACTCGGGACATCAACAATAGGACCTGCTGAGGACTTAGTGAGGTCCACGGGACCAACCATAGTTTTATCACTTGCACTGACAGACTGATAAACATTCATTGCCATTGCATGGAAGCTGTTCTTCCCATCGTATGTGTCAACCTGTGTATCTATATTGTCAGCAGATGCTCGAATCGGCTTGCCTTTCACCAAACCAGGTGGGATAAACACGCCATTATCCATCGTGTTCCTTTGAACGGCTTGAGCAATCTGGTTACATACTTGACTGTCACGACTGTATGATATACCAACATTAGCATTGCTCAGTAGTGTCACAGCCTTCTGGCTACGTAGGTTATGATACATCCACAAGGATACACCTACTGCATATGGACTTTCAAACTGTCTGCGGAAATCTGACAAGGCAGACTCAGATTTTGCCACATGTGACACTTGTCTTGAAGCCTTACAGCCCTGTATGATAGTCTGTGAGATTATTACAGACGATTTAAGCAAAGCTTGCTCTCGAGCTTTTGTTGTAGCAGTTTTACGACCATGCAGTATCCATTTTATCGTGGTCAGAAGTTCAACAGGAATACCAGAGTCACCCGAACCATCTAGAGATCCGTTGAAACTCCACGACTTCTCATTTTTTACATTTGATATGGCACGCCTGATTATTTTTGCACATTTGAAGACTGAATTCAGATCAAATCGTTCGTCTCGAGCATTATCAACTGACTCACGTCCTGCTTGTTTAGAGTGCAGTACACCTGGCATGTTACCCCTATGTTGTGATACTACAATGGTTGGTACATTTTCTGATATTTTTGTTGAATCCAAAATACCGTGCGCTTCCAGTGTTTGTTTGTACAAGTTGTCAGCCTGAACTGTGGTTATGTATTCCCCAGAATCAATTTGCTCTTGCAGATTATCAAAAAACTCGATCTCTGCAATGACCAGGCTTGTGTCTACACATGTCTGAGTTGCGTATCTTTTCGGACCCTGCACATATTTACGCAATGCTCCAATCTTGCAAGTGTTGTGGTACACCACATCCCTTGAAAGCAGGTCCCCATCTACTTTTGCGTCTGCAAGCCGTACCTTCCAGGAATCGCTATCACTGCTTCTTACAATCTCTTTGATCGCATTTCCACAGCTTGCGCTTTGGCACGCATGTTTTTTTTTCATTATTTTTAGAGCTATCTGTTCCTTGACAGAAAAACACTCCTGACTATTAAATTGTTCAATCGCCAATCTAGTGACTTTTCCAGTATTTGTGCATGTAGCAGGTGAAGATGGACAGCTTTTTTTCTTGGCCTGGGGGGTCACTATTTTGCCTTCTTTCTTGCACTTCTTTCTGTCTCTTTCAATTTTACAACTTGAAGTTGCATAACTGTAGCAATTCCTATGCCATTTTGTATCTTTCTCTGCAAGATCCTGACTTGTCAATCCCCACAGTCATTTTGCAATATTAATGAAGTCAGGATTACAAAATTAAGCCCTCAAATTAACCTTTTGTAAAAAAGTTTCATATGAGGACAACTGTTTGGGTGTTGACAATTTTTCATGTTTTTCTTCCCTCTGACATTTTATGAACATACTGAAGTCTGTGGGTTTGATTTTGGCAACAGGCTCTTCAGTTTCCATGGTAGCTGAGAATTCTGTGTACAAGCAGGTAATCAAACTTCAAAGAGCACAGCCATAGGCCTTCTCAAACAATCTCGACAGCCACCGTGTTCATTTACATATACAACACATCATAGAGCAACAGAGCAAGGAAACAGTAGGCTACATGTACTTCCAATAAGTTTCTGAATCAATGTCACGACTGACGGAACCAGTGACAACAGTTGATATAATT